TGATCTATTTTGTTTGAAAGGAAAAATCAAATTGGTGATAGAGGAGCATAAAATATTGGATTAGGTTTAAGTAACTGCACTTAGCTTACAAATTTAAAATTTGTGATAAGGTAAATTTATCTCATTTATAATTTTTGAATAAAATTATGAAAAAACTTTTTTATTCAAACTAAATTAAATAAGCTTAAAATTTATAAAATATATGCCTTTAACTTTAATTAAACGTGATTTTCATTTATAAAAGCTAAAATTAAATTGGGGATGATGGAGCTTCTACTATTGGTACAGCACTTGGTAAGTGCAAGTTCCTTACTAATCTCGAATTTTAAATTTGGTAACATTAATTTTAGATTAATTTATCGATAATTTAAAAAGTTCGAATTACTTTTTTTATTTTGATTTAAATGTCAAATCAAATTTAAATAGTGAATAAATTGATCTATTTTGTTTGAAAAGGGAAAATCAAATTGGTGATAGAGGAGCATAAAATATTGGATTAGGTTTAAGTAACTGCACTTAGCTTACAAATTTAAAATTTGTGATAAGGTAAATTTATCTCATTTATAATTTTTGAATAAAATTATGAAAAAACTTTTTTATTCAAACTGAATTAAATAAGCTTATAATTTATAAAATATATGCCTTTAACTTTAATTAAACCTGATTTTTATTTATAAAAGCTAAAATTAAATTGGGGATGATGGAGCTTCTACTATTGGTACAGCACTTGGTAAGTGCAAGTTCCTTACTAATCTCGATTTTGATATTTAGTAACATTAATTTAAAATTAATTTATCGATAATTTAAAAAGTTCGAATTACTTTTTTTATTTTGATTTAAATGTCAAATCAAATTTAAATAGTGAATAAATTGATCTATTTTGTTTGAAAAGGAAAAATCAAATTGGTGATAGAGGAGCATAAAATATTGGATTAGGTTTGAGTAACTGCACTCAATTAACAAATTTAGAATTTGGGATAAGGTAAATTTATCTCATTTATAATT